GCACCCCCGACTTGGCGGAAATGGACACCCATGTTAGGTATTTCCTTAAAGTAATGGCTATAGACCGCATTCCCACCGAGTACCTACCTATATACACATCTGATGTCCGATTCAGATTGACACCGCAAAGCCTCGTGTAACGTGTTCTATCACAGTATAATTGCTGATGTATGCCACTAATATGATCGATAATGCATATTGCATAGGTAATGCAAATTGCATACCCGCGTGGGGGATGGGGCGTTGTATAGTCACAAATCTCTCTTTTCGGTTTGTGCACGAACCGGCGCGAAGCGCCGCGAAAATTGACAAAAAAAAAACATTAGGCAATACTGCTCCAAAACACGAATTTTGCAGCCCGTGTAACAAGCTAGAAAACTAGAAAACCTTAGGTCAGGAAAACCAAGTCAAGTAGTCAAGTCGCCTCAAAGTTGTGTGGTCCTGTCAACCGTATAGCTTATTTCTTAGAAACTGGAAATTTAGTGTAGCGTGACTGCAGAAGTGTGGGGTCGGAGCCGGAATCAGTCGGAGTTGACTGTTTTGGCCAGTTTTGGCCAGAGTCGGAGTTGAAGTCTTCGAAAATGTTCGGATTTTGACTTCGAGGTCGGATTGGTGTAAAGTCATGCTCTTGGCTGGTTAGACGAAATATATTAGGACCGTGTTCGGCCAGTCGTGTTATACGACACACGTTGATCACGATATCAAAAATCGGCAGTTCCGCGATGACAGGTCGGATAAGAGCTGGGGATTTTGTTGGCCAAGGTGGCAGGGGTCAGACCAAGTGGGTGCGGCCAGTGGGCTGGGCTGCCTGTTCAATTGGTCGGGTTCATCCCAAGTGGCTCACTGGGGTGGCTGCCCCGACCAATGTCTCCCACTAATTCTTTCATACTTGCGGCTCTGAAATGGTCTCATTTGACCTAAGGGTCTAATCAAATTTCGATTAGGATAACAATAAGTAAAACGCCTTTTGGGGCGACCACCGGAGCGAGCGAGAGGGTGGGGTGGGCCGTGCACGTGCGAAATTGCGAGGGGATACCTCCAACTAACTTGTGCACTGCGCCCTTCTAACCGGTCCTAACGAGGTGCCAAATTTGAGCGCAATCGGCCAAGCCGTTCTCGAGATCTGGAAGCGGCACCCTGCACGTGCGCACGTGCAAAATGGGTCCCAACTGACTTTTGCACGGCACCCTACTAACCGGTCCCTAACCATGTATCAGATTTCAGCACAATCGGTTCAGCCGTTCTCGAGATCTGGAATCGACCCCTGCATGTGCGCACGTGCAGCAGCACCCCAACTGTGGCACACGGATATGCATTGCCTAGTGGGTATACCTACCTACATGCCAACTTTCAGCGCAATCGGCCCAGTAGTTGCCGAGATATTGAAATTGTTACAAAACTGACACCTCTTCGTTTTTCACGTGGCACGTGCATATGGGGTCACTCACATGCATCGGGAATAGTCCGATGCTCGTTAGAACTTAGAAGGAATGAATCTAGTGCTACCCTACAAAAATTACCGCGTGTAAATCGGTCAAGTGGTTGCTGAGATATAAGCCTAGCAAAAGCGTGACCACGGCATACCTACTCAGAAATTTCCGTTAACCTACGAAAGACTACGCTCGCTTCGCTCGCTCCGTAATGAGTTTGGGGGGGGACGTCCCCCTTCCATTCTGAGAGTGGGGGGACGCGTCCCCCCGTCCCCCCCGGTGGCGGCGCCCATGCCTAGGTCATCTAAGATAATTGCGTTTTAGGCAAGCGGAATTTACTTTTTGTGAAGTTTTTTTGACTGCATTTTTGGTAAAAGCTTCTCAAATCATGATTTCATGTAATATGGACACATAACCAATCGGTGCACACATCAGTATACACACAGACACACACAGACATACAAACACATATAATTGACCTTGACCTAACTTGACCTGAAATGACCTCAGCAGCAAAAACCTGGTCGGGTAGTGTGACAAAGAGGTTCTAGCTGGCTTGGCACCAGAAAACGGCATCGTCATCGGTATATGATAAGCAGCGCACTTGATATTCAACGGTGACCCAAAACAGCAACATTTTTTAGTTTGACCTGACCTGGAAGGTCAATGACTGACCTGAGAAGGTAAAACTGGGTATCATTGGATTCGTCTCTTCCCAAAAAATCTTTTTGGTCTTTACCGCTAAGCTCTATCTCCAACAGGAACGAAATGGCGCGGGGGGTGGCAACCCCCCCCCCATGTGCGTTCTAGGATGGGAAAATGGCATGTGCGGGCGAGGCTTAAATTTGGTAGCGCTACGAGCTATAGAACTCACGCTATCAACGAAAAACTCTGGCATTCGGTTGCCGCTAAACTAGTCCAATTTTCCCCTGACCTTGTACGGGGTTTGTGACCTGGTGACCTGACCTGAAAAGACTAGAGATCTGAAATTTTCAGGACAAGTGCCAAAAGGTTGCCCCAGAGGGTATGCCAAATTTGAGCGCCGCCGTTTTTACGTTATTTGTGGAAAAACCTTAGGGGGGTGCATCAACCCCCCTCACCGGGCGAGGGCTAACTAACATAATACATTGTAGTAAAGGCTACCCGAACCGGTAATGATTCTTGCTTATTTGTTTAGCTCAGCCGTATTTAGAGATTTAGCTGGCTTTGTCCATGAATTACAATATCGGCAGGGGCGTAGCCAAGGGGGAGGGGCCACGGGGCAATGGCCCCCTCCCTTGAGCGCAAAACGCGCCATGGGGGAGCCCCCCAGGCCCCGGGATATTTTTTTTCAAACACTGGATAAAACGTCTTTTACTCGGAAGAAAATTGATATCGAAGTTTCATTTATGTGGCTCTCTGATGGCCCAATGGGCCCCTGCACTCATCCGATGACCCCCGGTTTTCTGGGGCCCCTGGTCGCCCAGAGGGCCCCGGTCGCTTGGGGGCTAGTCGCCTGGGGGCCCCTGGTCGCCTGGGGGCCTGGTCGCCTGGCCCCTGCCCCCTGGTCGCCTGGAAGAACGCTTGTCACCTGCAGTGGCATAGCCAAGGAGGGGGCCAAAGGGACCATGCCCTCCCCCCCCCTGGAAGCCAGGGGTCCTTATTCTATAGGGGCCCCTGGCTGACACAGTGGGCCCTTGGCGACGCAAAGGCCCCTGCGGCAGATCCTTTGACACAGCTGAGTAGTTATACCTTGGCCAAGAGAGCCCCAATTTTAGAGCCTTGGGGCCCTATTGAAACCAGGGGGTCAGTTGGATGGGATGGGTCCAACTTGAGTCCAACGGTGTGTAAACAGAATCAATGCGTTCCGACTGTTGATCTGACCCTATATCGGTTTGAGGGAGCTCGGATCGGATCCACTGTCGATCTGAGGGACCCCTATCGGTTTGAGGAAGCCCTCAAATGCCCTGAACGGGTCCTTAGTTTGTCTGAGAGAGCCCTCCGTCGGCATGACTGGGCCTCTGCAAGTGCAAGGAGGGCTTTTGTCGGTCTTAGTGGCCCTTAAGCGGCTTATATGACCCTCAGACGGCTTACGAGGCTCTCATGCGCTGTAGGGGCCTGTGACGGTCTGAAGAACCCTCATCCGACCTACGGGCCCTCAGACCGCCCTCAAAACCGACTGGCGACTCTAGGAAGCTATTCGTGGGTCTATCTAACAGGGCCCATGGACTGCTTACCCCCTCAGTTCTAATATTTTTTGTTTATAAATATTTTTCTATTTATTTGGGCCCCCTCCAAAAATTATTGGATCCAACCAGATGGCTTTTTGGATTTTGAGGGGGTTATTTTGGGCCCCTGTGCGTTTGGCCCCCTCGGGCCTCCTTGAGGAAATTCTGACTACGCCCCTGAATATCGGGCAACCAGAAAACTTTTTTTGACCTTCAAACAGCATCCAGTTTGCTTAAGACCAGAAAGGTAGTACCGGACGTCCGGCCGGACCAGAATTTTTGCATTTGCTTCTGGGTGGGCAAATCGACGCCACTGGGTGGGCAATTGCGGTGACTGGGTGGGCATTTGCCCACCCAGTGGGTATGTTAGAGGAGGCCCTGGGCGTATTTGATGCCAATTCGGTTTCATAAAGCCGGAGACCGGAGTAATTCACGCCATCGAAAGTACGGAGCTTCATTTACGGCAAACGCTCGATTCCGGACCAATTGATGCCATTTGGGTTTCATAAAACGACGTAATTAACGCCAAATATTTTATCAAGCTCTTGATATCAGTGGTGTAAACTACGCACGAAAATGTTGCGTGATTTTGAATTAATGTGAATATTCGAAGCTAATTTTTAATATATTTTATAATGTTGAGCCCGGTGAGGAAGAAAGAACAGCCAAAATGAGAAAAAGAAACTGTAAATCTTCTGTACCAGTCGCTTTTTGTGGCCACTATCGGAATTTTGTTTATTCGCCGCGCCGCGCCACTTTCGTAGTTAGGCATTTCTGCTTAGCTGGCTTTCTGCTGTTTTTAATATATTGTTTTAATAAAAGATGGTCATCAATATTAATTTTGTTTTTTCATAAATAATTTTTAAGATTTAAATTCAACATAATTGTTTTATAATTTCTCGTAAAAAATAAGTGTTGACATGAAATTGTAATTTGTAGAACGCTTGATAAATTACGGTAGCTACGCAAATGTGCTTAGTTACGGAGGTGTAAACAATTCCAGTCGTGGCTTTGTGAAACGGCTTCATTTGCGCTCCGTAGTTTGAAAGGGTGTGAATTACGGAAAGGTGTAAGTTACGGCAGAGCTTTATGAAACGAGGCCCGGGTTACGGCATAGTGGTTGATGCTCACACAGGTCCATTTCGAAACATGACGGGACGGGATAGCGCGTTACGGCACCGAAAGGCGTATGCAGTAGACAAACCAGCTACAACAATAAAGCTTTACGCTATGCACGGTTATAAAAAAAAAAACGCTTGGCGTTTGTGGACGGCATTGTAGTTTGGCGCACGAATGTCAAGAAACATAATTGCGTTTCGCGATAATTAGTGATAATTGATAATTTCTCTTTTTTTATTCACAGCAAGCACCGGTGTCCGCACACGGCGATGAACACGCACACCTCGCACGTGCAGGAGTGTCTGGAGACGAGCAGCTCGAGCTCCATGCAGGAGGCCTCCTCTCAGTTCACCACCACCACCAGGTGAGGACCGAAGTCCGAGGACAGAGGATATCGGTTCACGGCTGGCCGCCAGCACTCCGACTGGAGCGTCACACACATGACAGGAGAACGCGGAGGCACAATTAACGATACATTACTATAACTTGGTGTTCTGGAATAATATTTATCTGACTATACTCACGGGCTCGTTGATGGACAACTAATGAATCGTAACAGCCAGAAACGTTTCTTGAAAACATCGAATGCGTAACATTGGTTAAGAGCCCATCCTTTAACAACTTTAACTATAACATCGTTCTAATATCATACCAGTTACATGGTCTACATTGCTAATTATATGTTAAGATCTGCCTTTTTAATCCCACTAACGGTATGTCCCACCGATAAACACTTTTGTACATATGTTTGCGTGCGTGTGTCTGCAGAGAGGCGTACACTGCCAAAGCTGGTGAACATGTCTCCCGGGAGCACCTCATCAGGTAACTAACAGAAACTCCATCCAATGCGTCCCTGGCGCAGTTGCATGGTATGTGTTTAATTAGATCTATTGGCAAAAACAACGAATATGAAGACGATAATAAACTTAATTATTAGTTATGGCTATCACTTTAACCCATCTTAATTGAGCTACAATGTAGCTGCGCACGATATAATTTAGACATTTGCGGTAGGTAATGGTAGCGGCATCGGGGTTAACGTATCGCTTTGGCGGCTCATCAACATCAATATTTGATGTCGGCGCCTGCCAGAACCACCACGCCGTGGTGTTTCTGTTGTCATTTGGCAGGGATCGATGGGGCGCGCGTCCCCAGTTACGACCTTGGTGTCACATATTTTCGCTCAGGGTCCTCCTGTCGGGCTGGCTAATAAAGGAGCTTGGCCACAAAGCTTTAGTACGTCGTGCTGCGAGGTTGTGTCTAGGTGTGTGCTCGAATGCAACGAGTGAGAAGACTAGTGTGAACTCTCACATTCAGCTAATTTAGCAGTAGGAACCGACGCAAAAATACTTGTCTGTAACTGTCAGCGCGCTGAATTACTTTATGGATCAACTGCTGACGCCCATTCTTACAACTCAGGACTGCCGCCGAGGACCACCTGCGTGTGGAAGGTGACTTCCTGGGCCGCTCCCTGACCAAGGAGGCGTACCAGGGCCATCACCCGACGCAGCAGCTCCTGCCGGCCGGATCGGCCGCCACCAATGGTGAGTGATATAGGCTCGGCATCCACCAACCGCGATTCAACCAACTGACTACTGCACCCTTTCTCAAACAATCGCCGGCTCAATATCCACCCATGGTGAATGTTGGCACTGGCCGAAATGTTGTTTGCCCTTCATGTGACGAGGTTGGAAAGGTTATGTAACATCGCTGACAGTGCTACTACACGTAACGATTTTTTTCACTCGGATGCGTGTGTATGTAGTTTCTCCTTCCCATTCCTTGTTATTTTAATTTTTGTTACTAATTCTTATAGGCCCAATTAATGTTTTTTCTATGTTTTCTTTTTGTTCTCCAGTTTCATCCTATGAGCAGTCCAAAATGTCATCATCGGAGTTCATGTCTCAAGAAAAGATGGAAATGAGTAAGTAAACTGTTTCGTTTTGCACTCCTCCTTTCATAAATCGTTTTTATTACGCAGTCTCAGCAGGCTGTGTTTTATTTTGTAAGAATATGTTTTATTATCGTAGTATATTTCTTAGCGAAATGAAAATAGATATTATTTTCATACATCTTACAAAGCTTACATACATCTTACAAATTTTGCTCACACGTTTCAACATTAAAATTATATCCCGCCGCCTGAAAACGGCATCAGAGGTGAGGTGTGTAACGGGTGGCGTTTGTGTCATCAGGCGAGTCGACGTCCCGCTCCCAGTACCAGTCGGTCACCGCCGGGGAGCGCGCTGAGATAGTCCGTCACGAGGACAACCTCCGGCTTGAGGGACAATTCCAGGGTGAGTTGGAGATCGCCTCGGTGCAGTGCCGAGCTCTACACCGCTCGGCCGTTGGAGAACCTTGGTCACGGAGCCCTGATATTTGTAGTTGAGTGGTGGGAAATAGAAGGTTTAGGTACACTACCAATAACCAGACAGCCGTGCTGCCATTGTGCCATAAACTAACCCAGCTGATGCTGATTGGTGCCGGTGACCCTCTGTTGTATGGCAGTAGTGAAGCCTAGACTAGTTATGGTGTTGTAACCATAATAACCCGGATTTACCCTGGTGACGGTACCACAGCCCTAGAACCATGCGGTGCTGCACGCGCACAGTGTACCATACGTTAAACCTGCACTCGAAGGGCGGCCATCGCCCGTTATCTAACAAACCCGCTCCCCGGCCGCTGCTAACTCCATCCCTCCCACTAACACGTCCGCGCGTCCACTGTGTCCCGTCAGACTACGACACGATCGAGAAGCGATTTTACGGCCAGGGCTCGGGCGTCGAAAGTCAGTCCGTATACATCCCTACTCGATACAACTCGGCATCCAGCGGACCCCACAAGCCTGGCCTGGAGGATAGCCTGGGACCCGGAGTGGCAGCCCCGCGGGGCGAAGGACTAGCGACTGGGACAGGCGGCTGGGCGGCCAAACTGCGGCACTCACCGGGTGGACACGCCAGAGCGCTGTACGAGGCCGCGCTGCCCCTACACCCTGAGCCTCTGCAATCGGAGCTGGCGGAGGGCGACGGCGCGCGGCGGGCGCCGCTGCCGGAGCGACACCACGCGCCCGACTCGCACCTGAGGCCCGAGGGTGGTATGCAGCTGCTGTCCAGCTCGCAGGCTGACTTCCCGCCACGTCAGGCGATCACGCCGACCCGCGCACACCCGTCCGACCACCTGAGGCCGGAGGGGGAGCTGGCCGGCCGCAGCGCCACCCACAGCGCCCTCCAGCCGGCAGCCGGACAGCGGCCGCAGCTGCGTCAGCTCGACGAGCTGGGGTCGCCGCAAACCTCCGACCAGCTGCGCATCATCCGGCCTGACATCCGCCGGAACCCCGACTCGCTCAGCCTGGCCGGAGAGGTGGAGCGCCTCAGTGCCGTGGGGGACCGTCAGAGAACCCTCTCCGGTAAGGGGGATCCACTGCCCCAATGAACCCCCCCCCTCTCAACCATCATCAAAGGGTCGCTCGCTGAAGCATGTCGGCGCTGTTGACGGAGAGCTTTGCATGCTTCCTTGCCTTGCACGGACCATTACCTCAGCCGATGTGGGAAAACGGCACTGGTATGCATGGCGAGTGATTTAGATTAGCACCCGTGGGAGATGGTTTTTCTTCATGCGCCGCTGCAATGCTGAAATATGTCCATACAAGGTGAACGATTTTAATAACGAATCTTGCCGTAAATTGTAACGCTTGAAGCCACCATGGAAATCATGTTTGTCGATGTTCTCTGATTTTCCCTGTAATGCATGATGCTACTTATATCAATGGTTCTGTCGTTTGTTCAGTGGGCGAATTAGTTGTTTGCAAATGCTCTCAGCCATTATTTAATAGTGCATCTGCTGACTTCTTCCGTTTACCTACAGATACCCGCGAGAGGACTGAGGTGGTTCGTGGGGAGAGGGCCGAGATCGTCCGTAGGCAGGATAACCTCCGCACCGAGGGCGACTTCCAGGGTAAGCTAACCCAACAACAGCCGGTCACCATGGTGACATGAGGTTAATGAACATCGCTGCTTTCACTGATGAAGGTGGGAGATCGCTTTTGTGTCATAGCGCTTTATTTATAAGGTGGTATAGATAATAAACTTATTATTGCGGTGGTGGCGTAATACTGGGAAAATACCATGTGACCTGTAGCAAATAGGGCTTATTTTAACCACAATATGTGAGGCCAGGCTAATATCTGACCGCGCTTCGGACGGCAGGCTACCGCCAGGAGATGGCCACGGTGGGCGAGCGGGCCGAGGTGGTGCGCCGCGCCGACAACCTCCGGCTCGAGGGCGACTTTGTGGACGCGCGCGAGCGGCAGGCGCCCGGCCGCGGCGAGCGTGCTCCCGTGGTGCGCCATCCGGACCACCTGAGACAGACGGGAGAGTTCGCCGGTACGTCCCTGTCCTCAGAGCTAGTCCAAGGTCGCTGCACCGCATCCACGACCTGCCCGCATGGAGATGCCCAGTAGTCTGCGATGATACGAAGGATCTAGTTGTGTCTATAGCGAATGGTAACGGAGTAATGCACATAGTTGCGTGAGTTTGCTAGCACTTTTTTCAGTTGGCTTGGCTTTGGTTTGGTGTTCGACGGAGCCTCTGAATAGCACAGAGGTCGCCACTGCGCCGCCTGCCTGTAGCTTGGTATGTTGTAGCGCCGCTTGCTGTGTTGCCTCGCTTGGTCCGGGTCTGCTCCCGGCACAGCACTGATGCCAGCCCGCCCGACCCCAGGTCAGTCGGTGACACACGCCTCCTACTGCGCCGTCCACGGTCACCGTTCAGTGGCGGTGCGCCACAACGACCAGCTTCACACAGCGCACAGCGAGCAGAGCTTCTGTACGTGACCGACCAGTGCAGTGGTCACACCTCCGCCGGCACGGTCCGGCGGGGCGCGTCTGCTGTTGCAAACTCTCGGAACGGCTATGGCTATGATAAAATTAATGAATTTAAAACAGGTTATGTTTTGAGAAATCGTTGCAAACGTAAAAGTTACCTCTTTTCCCCAGTAAATGTTAACCAAATATGATACATTGGCGCGCTGTAAGTTGTTAACCCTCATTTGTCCCGTGTTGTTTCATCATCCCTCCCCCAGTCTCATAGTTCTAATTTTAATCACCATGTCTGATAGTTAGTAACTGTGATGTTGATGTTTGCAGCCACCTCCTCTCACCATGACGACTTCGGCGCTCCGCACGGCGGCGAGCGACAGCCCATCGTTACGTTCCCGGACGAAATCCAGACCACCGGCGGCGAATTCATCGGTGAGTTCTCATGAGGAAGAGGGTCAACTCTAAACTTATTGATTGTTAAACATATACCAATGTATCAACAAAGTTGCTGACAAAGAACAATGACAATAAACTAGGAAGACTTTAATATTGATAGGTACTTCTACAAGTAGCAATAATTGCTCAGCATGAATCATTTATAAGCCCGGTTAACGGTGAAGTTTTAGACAAAGAAGTGTTCTTGCTTCCGATAATTTGTATTATTCAAATCAAAGTTTTTCTCAAGATGCTAATTCTCTTTCCGAACGTCATTCTTGAGATAATTGTTTCTAAACGATAATTCTTGTTGAACGATGATATTAACAAGGTCATTATTTCCTTTGCAGACACTCGGGATCGCAGCGACGTGGTTCATCGCGGGGAGCGAGCTGATATCATCCGACGTGAGGACAACCTACGTATGGAGGGACAGTTTGAGGACACCCGCGACCGAACCACCGTGCTTCGAGGGGAGCGAGCCGAAGTGGTCCGCCGTGAGGACAATCTCCGCATGGACGGGAAGTTCGAGGACACGCGTGAGCGAACTACCGTTATGCGTGGGGAGAGAGCAGAGATAGTTCGGCGGGAAGACAACCTACGCATGGACGGAAAGTTTGAAGACACTCGAGAGAGAACCACTGTGGTGCGTGGGGAGAGAGCACAAGTTGTCCGTCGTGAGGACAACTTACGAATGGACGGGACTTTCGAAGATACACGTGAAAGAACCACAGTCGTCCGTGGTGAGCGGGCTGACATCGTCCGTCGAGAGGACAACTTACGGATGGATGGCACGTTTGAAGGAAGACCTCGTGATGAAGCGCCGAGAGGGGAAAGGGCTCCAATAGTCCGATACCCGGACAGCATTAAGCTCGAAGGTGACTTCCCAGACAGAGAAAGAGAAGGGGCACCACGCGGAGAGCGTGCTCCCCGGGTGGCTCATCCAGACAATCTCCGGCCGGAAGGTGACTTCACAGGCAGGCCAAGAGAAGGAGCGCCCAAAGGTGAACGTGCTCCTATTGTGAAACATCCCGACAACATAAGACTAGAGGGCGATTTCTCTGACCGACCGAGGGAGGGAGCACCTCGAGGTGAGCGTGCACCTCGTGTCCCTCATCCGGACAATCTTCGTCCCGAAGGTGAATTCACTGACAGGCCAAGAGAAGGAGCTCCCAAAGGCGAACGTGCTCCTATTGTGAAACATCCCGATAACATAAGGCTAGAGGGCGATTTCTCTGACCGACCGAGGGAGGGAGCACCTCGAGGTGAGCGTGCACCTCGTGTCCCTCATCCGGACAATCTTCGTCCCGAAGGTGAATTCACTGACAGGCCAAGAGAAGGAGCACCCAAGGGCGAAAGAGCTCCAATTGTGAAGCATCCCGATAACATCAGACTAGAGGGTGACTTTGCTGACCGACCGAGGGAGGGAGCACCTCGAGGTGAGCGTGCTCCGCGGGTGGCTCATCCGGACAATCTGCGCCCGGAAGGTGATTTTGCTGACAGAGAAGAATACACACCCGGAAGAGGACAGCGAGCGCCGATTGTGAAACACCCCGACCATCTGAAGATGGAGGGAGAGTTCTACGATCGTCCAGATCAGCAAGTTCCCAGAGGAGTGCATGCACCTGTAGTCGAACACCCGGACCACCTAAAGCTGGAAGGTGACTTTATCGATGGAAGAGAAAAGCACGTTCCCGGCAGAGGACAGCGTGCCCCGATTGTAAAGCATCCTGATCATCTGAAGCTGGAAGGAGAGTTCTACCAGCCACCAGATCAAGTCGTGCCGAAGGGGGTGCGAGCTCCTGTCGTAGAACATCCAGACCACCTAAAAATGGAGGGAGAGTTCACCGACGGCAGGGACCGCCACACGCCTGGTAGAGGACAGCGAGCACCGATCGTCAAACATCCGGATCACTTACGTCCAGAGGGAGAGTTCGCTAAGAAGCCGCACGAGGAAGCTCCGATCGGTGAGCGTGCACCCGTGGTGAGGCACCCTGACCATCTGAAAATGGTCGGACAGTTCATTGACGAGCGTGACAAAACCGTCGTGCTGCATGGTGAGCGTGCTGATGTTGTACGCCGCGACGATCATCTGAAGATGGAAGGTCGTTTCGAGGACACAAGGGAATTTACGACTGTCACTCGCGGAGAAAGGGCTGAGATTGTGCGTAGGGAGGACAACCTCCGAACGGGAGGAGAGTTTGTTGACACCAGGGAACGAACGACTGTGACTCACGGCGAGAGAGCTGATATTATTCGTCGGGAGGATAATCTTAAAACAGAGGGACGGTTTGAGGACACGCGAGAGTACACTACTGTTACACGAGGTGAGCGTGCTTATATTGTCCGTAGAGAAGATAATTTGAGGATGCAAGGCGACTTCGTGGACACTAGAGAAAAGACTATGGTGACGCGTGGTGAAAGAGCCGATATAATACGAAGAGAAGACAATCTCAGAACAGAGGGGCGCTTTGAGGACACCAGGGAACTAACAACTGTCACAAGAGGAGAACGTGCAGATATCGTGCGTAGAGAGGACAATCTTCGAATGGAAGGTACTTTCGAAGAGCGCCCTCGTGGAGAAGCTCCCAGAGGCGAAAAGGTGCGTCCTATACGTCACGGCGACAACCTGCGTCCGGAGGGTGAATTCAGCGGGAAGCCATTAGAAGAGGCCCCTCGTGGAGAGCGAGCTCCTGTTGTCAAAAGACCAGACAACCTGCGACCCGAGGGTGATTTTACAGATCGGCCGAGAGAAGAGGCACCGAAGGGTGAAAAGGCCACCCCATACAAGTATAGAGATAACCTCAAGCCTGAGGGAGACTTTGTGGGAAAACGTACAGAAGAAGCTCCTCGTGGTGAACGCGCACCTGTCGTAAAACATCCAGATCACTTACGAATGGAGGGACCATTTGAAGGTCGCCCTAATGAGGAGGCACCTAGAGGTGAAAGGGCGACACCGTTCAAATACAGAGACAATTTGAAGCCAGAAGGAGAGTTCACTGATCGTCACCCCGAAGAGGTTCACAGAGGCGAGAGGGCCCCGGTCGTAAAAAGGCCAGATAATCTACGACCAGAAGGAGACTTCGTTGGTCGCCCAAGCGAAGAAGCTCCGAGGGGAGAAAGGGCCACTCCATACAAATACAGAGACAACTTGAGACCGGAAGGAGACTTCACTGATCGACGCCCAGAGGACGCTCCTAAAGGAGAAAGAGCGCCGGTTGTAAGGCGACCTGACAATCTTCGACCCGAGGGAGACTTCACAGATCGACCTCGCGAGGAGGCACCCAAGGGAGAGAGAGCGACTCCCTACAAGTACAGAGATAACCTGAAGCCCGAAGGCGACTTTGCTGACCGTCGTCCAGAGGAGATTCATAGAGGAGAGCGAGCGCCAGTGGTGAAACGGCCCGACAACCTCCGGCCCGAGGGCGACTTCGAAGGTCGTCCACGTGAAGAGGCTCCCAAGGGCGACAGGGCTACTCCGTACAAGTACAGAGATAACCTAAGGCCCGAGGGAGACTTCACCGACCGTCGTCCGGAGGAGGCACCAAGGGGAGAGAGGGCTCCTGTTGTCAAGCGACCCGACAACCTTCGACCGGAAGGCGATTTTGAAGATCGTCCGCGCGGTGAGGCTCCCAAGGGCGAAAAAGTCACGCCATACAAATACAGAGACAACCTGAAGCCAGAGGGAGAGTTCATCGGCAAGCCAACTGAGGAAGCCCCAAGGGGAGAACGTGCTCCAGTTGTCAAAAGACCGGACAACTTGAGGCCAGAAGGAGCATTCGAAGACCGTCCTCGGGAAGAGGCGCCTCGTGGCGAGAAGGCATCTCCGTACAAATATCGGGACAACCTCAAGCCGGAGGGAGACTTTACTGGACGACCGACGGAGGAAGTACCTCGTGCAGAACGCGCTCCTGTTGTCAGAAGGGCTGATAATCTAACCATGGAGGGAGAGTTTGTCGACACGAGGGAGCGAACCACAGTCACCCGAGGCGAACGAGCCGACATCGTTCGTCGTGAGGACAACCTGAGAACTGAGGGACGGTTTGAAGACACCCGAGAGTTCACCGCTGTGACCCGTGGCGAGCGGGCTGAAATCATCCGCAGAGAGGACAACCTTCACATGGAGGGTACCTTTGAAGATCGGCCACGAGGTGAGGCGCCGAGAGGAGAGAAAGTCCGTCCGATTCGTCACGACGACAACCTCCGTCCGGAGGGTGACTTTACCGACAGACCGCGGGGAGAAGTGCCTCGTGGAGAGCGGGCGCCCGTCGTCAAACATCCAGACCATCTCACGATGGAAGGAGATTTCGTTGGTAAGTGTTTATTTTAAAGTTGTTCTGCTAAGGTATATACTCGTTGACTGCAGTGCATACGCAGTCTGCTCAGGAAGAGTTGTATGTCAAGTCATCAAATGCCATTTAACTTTGAGCGTATTTTGTAAATGAATGAAATTTTGGGAGACTGTTTCAGAATATCGTAGGTCGCAAGATATCATGCTTGAATTAGCACGACTCAATCACACATGTATGAAGGGCTTCCTAATCCATGTAAGTAAAGCACTTCTTTCAACAAGTGCTTCCTGTGTCTGTTGCAGACACTCGTGAACACCGCACTCCAACGAAGGGCGAGCGTGCTCCTGTCGTACGTCGTCCGGACAACCTCCGACCGGAGGGTGATTTCCCGGACCGACCTCAGGACCAGGCGCCCAGGGGGGAGCGAGCCCCCGTGGTGCGCCGACCAGACAACCTCGTCATGGAGGGAGAGTTCATTGGTAAGTGGAGTTAGAGAAAGTAGCATTGCTAATTCTTTCTTTTAATTCTGTTGTATAAAAACACATGGATTCATGAGACATTAATAGTCGATCTTTAACCATTTTAACAAGTGTGCGGTGTTTGTACGTACGTTTAAACAGGATTACACGTCTAACATTTCTATCTGTTTAATTAACACATGCCAAATGCCAGAAAATGTGATATTTTACCTTGTAGAACGAAACTGTGTCCAAAGCCGGAAACAAAAGCTAAATTTATCTGCAAAAGAGCTCATTTTCACGCGTTTAGGAGTAATGGTGGAACGAAGAAAACTGATAAAAATAAGGGTTACGTTGCCACCTCCTTCCTCATGATCACTGAACACGGTTACCTACATACAGCCTGTAAAGCCCTGCTGAAAAATCATCAATGCTTATAGCCTAAATATAATACATTAAATGTCATCACGGAATACGGATGTTTCATTTACGGCTACTCAATTACAGATACATTTTTAGGTTGTTCATTAAACACCGTCATCAGAAACTTAAAAAAAAATTGATCGCGTAACACATACCTGCAGAACTGATATTGAGGGACAAATTGAATTATGATTGGAAAACAATGGGAACGTTTTTGGGTTATATTACTTTAAGTCGGCTTAAGTAACTTAAAGTAAAGTAATTAAGTAGTGCCGACTTAAAGTAATATAACCCAAAAACGTTCCCATTGTTTTCCAATCATACCTGCAGAATATTACAAAGTACGAAAAGAGCAATAAATTTTCGCTTCAAAACCGATATGGTGATTCACCTAAAATGCAGTTGGTTATTTTTCATCAATGCGCATTTCAATTGGTATAGGCGGTTTGGTTTACTGATAAAATGTAGTGCTAACAAGTCTAATGTAGTTTTTCACGCTCCAGCATGATAAATGGTTATCTTACTCTAATAAGTACTAAAATGGTGTCAATATCTTTTGGAAGCCTCTCGGGCTTTTCAATAACGAGCATGCACTTACACAATGCATTAACCATCTTTTCAGATACTCGGGAAACGGTCAGCCCTGTGAGGGGCGAGCGAGCCCCCGTCGTTCGACGACCTGACAACCTTCGTCCAGAGGGAGAGTTCACCCCAAAACAGCAAGAGACTGCCCCTAAGGGTGAACGAGCACCTGTTGTAAAACACCCCGATCACCTAAAAATGGAGGGACCTTTCGAAGGCCGGCCTAATGAAGAGGCACCCCGTGGAGAAAAGGTTACTCCGTTCAAATACCGAGACAACCTACGACCAGAGGGAGAGTTCACCGGGAGGCCTAGCGAAGAAGCTCCTCGTGGTGAACGGGCACCTGTCGTAAAACATCCGGATCACTTGCGATTGGAGGGACCCTTCGAAGGACGCCCTAATGAGGAGGCACCTAGAGGTGAAAGGGCGACTCCGTTCAAATATAGAGACAATTTGAAGCCAGAAGGAGAGTTCACTGATCGTCGCCCCGAAGAGGTTCACAGAGGTGAAAGGGCTCCGGTCGTAAAAAGGCCAGACAATCTACGACCAGAAGGAGACTTCGTTGGTCGCCCAAACGAAGAGGCTCCGAGGGGAGAAAGGGCCACTCCATACAAATACAGAGACAACTTGAGACCGGAAGGAGACTTCACTGATCGACGACCAGAGGACGCTCCTAAAGGAGAAAGAGCGCCGGTTGTAAGGCGACCTGACAATCTTCGACCCGAGGGAGACTTCACAGATCGACCTCGCGAGGAGGCACCCAAGGGAGAGAGAGCGACTCCCTACAAGTACAGAGATAACCTGAAGCCCGAAGGCGACTTTGCTGACCGTCGTCCAGAGGAGATTCATAGAGGAGAGCGAGCGCCAGTGGTGAAACGGCCCGACAACCTCCGGCCCGAGGGCGACTTCGAAGGTCGTCCACGTGAAGAGGCTCCCAAGGGCGACAGGGCTACTCCGTACAAGTACAGAGATAACCTAAGGCCCGAGGGAGACTTCACCGACCGTCGTCCGGAGGAGGCACCAAGGGGAGAGAGGGCTCCTGTTGTCAAGCGACCCGACAACCTTCGACCGGAAGGCGACTTTGAAGATCGTCCGCGCGGTGAGGCTCCCAAGGGCGAGAAAGTCACGCCATACAAATACAGAGACAACCTAAAGCCAGAAGGAGAGTTCATCGGCAAGCCAACTGAGGAAGCCCCGAGGGGAGAACGTGCTCCAGTTGTCAAACGACCGGACAACTTGAGGCCAGAGGGAGCTTTCGAAGACCGTCCTCGGGAAGAGGCGCCTCGTGGCGAGAAGGCATCTCCGTACAAATATCGGGACAACCTCAAGCCGGAGGGAGACTTTACTGGACGACCGACGGAGGAAGTACCTCGTGCAGAACGCTCTCCTGTTGTCAGAAGGGCTGATAATCTAACCATGGAGGGAGAGTTTGTCGACACAAGGGAGCGACACACAGTCACCCGAGGCGAACGAGCCGACATCGTTCGTCGTGAGGACAACCTGAGAACTGAGGGACGGTTTGAAGACACTCGAGAGTTAACCGCTGTGACCCGTGGCGAGCGGGCTGAAATCATCCGCAGAGAGGACAACCTTCACATGGAGGGTACCTTTGAAGATCGGCCACGAGGTGAGGCGCCGAGAGGAGAGAAAGTCCGTCCGATTCGTCACGACGACAACCTCCGTCCGGAGGGTGACTTTACCGACAGACCGCGGGGAGAAGTGCCTCGTGGAGAGCGGGCGCCTGTCGTCAAACATCCAGACCATCTCACGATGGAGGGAGATTTCGTCGGTAAGTATTTGATATAAAATGGAAGAAAACGTTTGGATGCATCTTGCAATATATACTTCACGTCAGATGCGTCCATTGCCTTAAAACATATTGTTTACCTGTTCTTACCTTTCAGTAGGTACATTGAATTGTCATGTGGGTGTACCAGTATATGTATAACTCTCGGAGTACATTGCAGCACCGTATACGATTAGTGTGATGTACGTTATGATTCAGATAGTCTAGCGTCACAAACATATCTCTCACCGCAATATACAGTATTTGTTTCAAGCATTCCTTCCTATCCTTGTCGTGTTGTAATGATGCAATTCTTTCAGCGATTGGGATTCCAAGGATAAATTCAGACGCGTTTCACCTGAGTAGGTACAACTCACTAGAAAGACACTTATGGCATGCATAACCCAAATTAGGGATCTATGTATCTATTTCTGGCGAAAGCACGTCTTCTCATAAAGTCACAAACTATTTTTAACGTCATTATTTAATATGTTACAGACACTCGTGAACACCGCACTCCAACGAAGGGCGAGCGTGCTCCCGTCGTACGTCGTCCGGACAACCTCCGACCGGAGGGTGATTTCCCGGACCGACCTCAGGACCAGGCGCCTAAGGGGGAGCGAGCCCCCGTGGTGCGCCGACCAGACAACCTCGTCATGGAGGGAGAGTTCATCGGTGAGTTTGAACTCATTTGAGCGCGACATCATGTGAAACTCATCAATTGTTGCTAATTTTTAATTGACCTAACTCCTATCCAGAGAGTGCTTGTAACACACTAACATCTCATTGTTACCAACGTGATGTAGTAGATAAACCACAACTTGATATTAGACCATTACTGCGCAACGCGTGCATATACCTAACAAACCAACCTTGACTTATAATATTTTTCTTGTCATTAGCTTCACTGTCTTGTCATTTCTTCTTGTCATATAATATAACATCCATCTTCTTCTCCATGTCTCTTTCTTAAACTCTCTCTCTCTCTCTCTCTCTCTCTCTCTCTCTCTCTCTCTCTCTCTCTCTCTCTCTCTCTCTCTCTCTCTCTTTCTCTCGCGATTACTCTTCTCCGTCGATATATTTCCTTTCATACCAACTAACACTCAATCGTGCATGATTGCAGATACTCGAGACTTTGTAAGTCCACCCAAAGGCGAAAAAACTTCTCTTATCCGTCACCATGACAATCTGATACCAGAAGGAGAGTTTCCTGGTAGACCAATAGAAGAAGCTCCGAGAGGCGAGCGTGCAGCGGTTGTAAAGAGGCCTGACAACCTTAAATCAGAAGGAGACTTTGCCGGAAGACCAACAGAAGAAGCCCCAAGAGGCGAGCGTGCCCCTGTTGGAAGAAGGCCTGACAACCTCAAATCCGAAGGCGAGTTCGCCGGAAGACCAACAGAAGAAGCTCCAAGAGGTGAGCGTGCCGCTGTTGTAAAAAGACCTGACAACCTCAAATCCGAAGGCGAGTTCACCGGAAGACCAACAGAAGAACCCCCAAGAGGCGAGCGTGCCCCTGTTGTAAGAAGGCCTGACAACCTCAAATCGGAGGGCGAGTTCGCCGGAAGACCAACAGAAGAAGCCCCAAGAGGCGAGCGTGCCCCTGTTGTAAAAAGGCCTGACAACCTCAAATCCGAAGGCGAGTTCGCCGGAAGACCAACAGAAGAAGCTCCAAGAGGCGAGCGTGCTCCAGTGGTAAGAAGGCCTGACAACCTCAAATCGGAAGGCGATTTCGCCGGAAGACCAACAGAAGAAGCTCCAAGAGGCGAACGTGCTGCGGTTGTAAGAAGGCCTGACAACCTCAAAGCCGAAGGCGAGTTCGCCGGAAGACCAACAGAAGAAGCTCCAAGAGGCAAGCGTGCTCCAGTGGTAAGAAGGCCTGACAACCTCAAATCAGAGGGAGAATTTGCTGGAAGACCAACAGAAGAAGCTCCGAGAGGCGAGCGTGCCCCTATTGTAAGAAGGCCTGACAACTTAAAATCGGAAGGCGATTTCGCCGGAAGACCAACAGAAGAAGCTCCAAGAGGCGAGCGTGCCCCTGTTGTAAGAAGGCCTGACAACCTCAAATCGGAAGGCGATTTCGCCGGAAGACCAACAGAAGAAGCTCCAAGAGGCGAGCGTGCTGCGGTTGTAAGAAGGCATGACAACCTCAAAGCCGAAGGCGAGTTCGCCGGAAGACCAACAGAAGAAGCTCCAAGAGGCAAGCGTGCTCCTGTGGTAAGAAGGCCTGACAACCTCAAATCAGAGGGAGAATTTGCTGGAAGACCAACAGAAGAAGCCCCGAGAGGCGAGCGTGCCCCTATTGTAAGAAGGCCTGACAACTTAAAATCGGAAGGCGATTTCGCCGGAAGACCAACAGAAGAAGCTCCAAGAGGCGAACGTGCTGCGGTTGTAAGAAGGCCTGACAACCTAAAATCAGAAGGAGAGTTTGCCGGAAGACCAACAGGAGTAGCTCTAAGAGGCGAGCGTGCCCCTGTTGTAAGAAGACCTGACAACCTCAAATCGGAAGGCGATTTCGCCGGAAGACCAACAGAAGAAGCCCCAAGAGGCGAGCGTGCCCCTGTTGTAAGAAGGCCTGACAACCTCAAATCGGAAGGCGATTTCGCCGGAAGACCAACAGAAGAAGCCCCAAGAGGCGAGCGTGCCCCTGTTGTAAGAAGGCCTGACAACCTCAAATCCGAAGGCGAGTTCGCCGGAAGACAAACAGAAGAAGCTCCAAGAGGCGAGCGTGCTCCAGTGGTAAGAAGGCCTGACAACCTCAAATCGGAAGGCGATTTCGCCGGAAGACCAACAGAAGAAGCTCCAAGAGGCGAACGTGCTGCGGTTGTAAGAAGGCCTGACAACCTCAAATCGGAAGGCGATTTCGCCGGAAGACCAACAGAAGAAGCCCCAAGAGGCGAGCGTGCCCCTGTTGTAAGAAGGCCTGACAACCTCAAATCGGAAGGCGATTTCGCCGGAAGACCAACAGAAGAAGCTCCCAGAGGCGAGCGTGCTCCAGTGGTAAGAAGGCCTGACAACCTCAAATCCGAAGGCGAGTTCGCCGGAAGACCAACAGAAGAAGCTCCAAGAGGCGAGCGTGCTCCAGTGGTAAGAAGGCCTGACAACCTCAAATCGGAAGGCGATTTCGCCGGAAGACCAACAGAAGAAGCTCCAAGAGGCGAACGTGCTGCGGTTGTAAGAAGGCCTGACAACCTCAAATCGGAAGGCGAGTTTGCTGGAAGACCAACAGAAGAAGCCCCGAGAGGCGAACGTGCTCCAGTGGTAAGAAGGCCTGACAACCTCAAATCGGAAGGCGATTTCGCCGGAAGACCAAGAGAAGAAGTTCCAAGAGGCGAGCGTGCACCAGTGGTAAGAAGGCCAGACAACCTCAAATCAGAAGGAGAGTTCGCTGAAAGACAAACAGAAGAAGCCCCAAGAGGCGAGCGTGCCCCTGTTGTAAGAAGGCCTGACAACCTCAAATCGGAAGGCGAGTTCGCCGGAAGACCAACAGAAGAAGCTCCCAGGGGCGAACGTGCTCCAGTGGTAAAAAGGCCTGACAACCTTAAATCGGAAGGCGATTTCGCCGGAAGACCAACAGAAGAAGCTCCAAGAGGCGAACGTGCTCCAGTGGTAAGAAGGTCTGACAACCTCAAACCAGAAGGAGAGTTTACTGGAAGACCAACAGAAGAAGCTCCAAGAGGCGAGCGTGCTCCAGTGGTAAGAAGGCCTGACAACCTCAAATCGGAAGGCGAGTTCGCCGGAAGACCAACAGAAGAAGCCCCGAGAGGTGAGCGTGCCCCTGTTGTAAGAAGGCCTGACAACCTCAAATCGGAAGGCGAGTTCGCCGGAAGACCAACAGAAGAAGCTCCAAGAGGCGAACGTGCTCCAGTGGTAAGAAGGCCTGATAACCTCAAATCAGAGGGGGAATTCGCCGGAAGACCAACAGAAGAAGCCCCGAGAGGCGAGCGTGCTCCAGTGGTAAGAAGATCTGACAACCTCAAATCAGAGGGGGAATTTGCCGGAAGACCAACAGAAGAAGCCCCGAGAGGTGAGCGTGCCGCTGTTGTAAAAAGGCCTGACAACCTCAAATCGGAGGGCGAATTCGCTGGAAGACAAACAGAAGAAGCTCCGAGAGGCGAGCGTGTCCCAGTGGTAAGAAGGCCTGACAACCTCAAATCAGAGGGAGATTTTGCCGGAAGACCAACAGAAGAAGCTCCAAGAGGCGAGCGTGCCCCTGTTGTGAGAAGGCCTGACAACCTCAAATCGGAAGGCGAGTTCGCCGGAAGACCAACAGAAGAAGCTCCCAGAGGCGAACGTGCTACAGTGGTAAGAAGGCCTGACAACCTCAAATCAGAGGGGGAATTTGCCGGAAGACAAACAGAGGAGGCTCCAGGGGGAGAGCGTGCTCTAATGATGAGAAGGCCTGACAACGTGAAGCCTGAGGGAGAGTTCACTGGAAGACCGAGAGAAGAGCGTGGTTCTGTTGAGCGTGGTCAAATGTTAGGTGACAGCGAACGTGCACGACCCATCAAACATTCGGACCATCTGATAACCAGTGGATCGTTTGAAGACAGAACAAGAGAGGAGTTCCCTGTCGTTGATAGAGCTATTGCAGTGAAACCTAAGGACAATCTGTATCCTGAGGGGACATTTGAAGGCAGGGTTTCCGGTGAAGCCGAACCTAGAGGAAACCGAGATTCAAACTACCAAATGCCAGACGATTCTCTTTCTGGGATGCATCCAGGTAAGGATACCCGCCTAACACACCTTTTGCCTATTGTTGTGGCTATTCTTTGCATGCATTCTATGAATCGAATCGTTGCTAGTATTCTTCACTATACTTCGCACTAGCTTGAACGAAGATAACTTACTAAATACCCACTGTGCTCGTGTGTGCTCTCTGCATGGCATTTACTGAATCAAACTAGGTTGTTTTTAATCCATACCTACAGTAGGTATAAGTGTTTCACTGTGAAGTGTTCAGAGGTAGATAGAAAACAGCAAGAGAGTTTTTGTTTTTGTTTCATTAGTTTTGCACTGTTACCTCATCGACACACAAAGAACGTGTTTTTTTCTGCGAGCCAAAAAACCCGAGTGGAAATCCTAGCACAACATGTCTCCTGACCCATGTTTGGAAAGCCGCGGTGAGCGCTGCGTTATTCATCAGTTACGTCTGTGTGCCATCGGTCCCCCATAAGGCTGCCGATACTGCTGTGAGCACCATCTGCGACCCCGCTGCCTGTATCTGATGCGACGGCGAGCGACGGGCGCCGCGATACGCCCCCGTCTGCCCGTCACCCCTGGCCGGCGCCCGGGCGCCTGATCGACCGGCGGGCCGCCACGGCACTCGGTCGGCCAGACTGTGCGCGCGCAGCCCGGCACGAACACGCCCCGCAGACGCACCCCTGACACTGCATGTGGCACGTGCACGTTGCAGACACGCGTGAGACTCAGGTGTTGACGCGAGGCGAGCGTGCCGACGTCGTACGCCGCGAGGACACCCTGCGGATGACGGGAGAATTCACAGGTAAGTTTACCTGTATATGTTAGCTACTGCAATAGTAAATGTCATATGGTAACGTCAAAATTATTACGTTTAGAGCTTCACATTCTCGTGAAATCTTTATAAAATCCTCCCAAGTTGATCGCTGGAGCCGCATATTCAATATAGGTATAGCCATCTCTATAGGTGTTCGAATAATATTGTTCTCGGCGCATTCTTTTGAAAACTCTGTGACGAAGAGGCAGTTTTGAAATTTTACATTGTGATTTTATGGTTGGAATATGTTTTGTATACGGTTTGTCATGGCCCCTCCCTCAAAGCAAAACTTGAGGGACCATAATCAAAGCCGCCACAAAATAATTTATAAGACACACTTATAAATGCAACAAACCTAACATTCAACAGTAATGCAATTTAAAACATTTTTAATACATTTTCTTTTGATTTCTTCCCATGCAAAGAAAAATACCCAATTTTATAGTAAAATTGTCCCAACTTCAGTATTCGGACCTTTCAATGATATAGTTCCTTCACAGTTTCTAACATTCAGCCTTGAATAAGGCTAACTCGAGGCGACCTTACGTATTTCCAAAACAGATATCAATAAATACCAACAATGTCGCTTGCAATGCAATAATACGGCACATCAAAAGCCATAACATTAACATTTCATCTAAATCACAAACCCGTCTATTTAATTTCAACGGACGTAACATATAACATCATTGTTCGTTGATTGACGTAAAATTAAGCGCAAACTGACAAGCTGTGTATCGAATAAATGCACGCGAAAAATGCTACACATTTGACCGGACTCGCCCATATCCTTAGTATGGAAATATTCACGAAAAAAACTGTAGGGGAGAGGAGGTAGATGGAATACATTTATATTTCATTAATCAGAACATCAACATATACAAAACAATGATCGCCAAATGGTGCAAAAGCATTTTTGCTTAAGTCGCAGCACCTCTCGGCTCTTACGTGCTCTCACCCGTAAGTAAGGAGGCTGCATTGATAACCTCTAGCCGGGAGGTTGAATCTCATTAAAGTTAATCAGTTTTCACAAAAAAATGCAGCTCTTATTATTCATGCACACACTCCCACCCTCAATGTTTCAGATACCCGAGAAAAGACGGTGTACACGCATGGGGAGCGTACTGACGTGGTACGCCGTGAGGACAACCTCCGCATGGAGGGGACATTCGAGGACCGACCACGGCAAGAGGCGCCGCGCGGTCAAAAGGCGCTCCCCTACAAGTACAACGACAACCTGCGACCTGAGGGCGAATTCACGGATCGTCGCCCTGAGGACGCGCCAAAGGGAGAGCGAGCGCCTGTGGTCCGACGTCCAGACAACCTCACTACAGAAGGAGAATTTGTGGACACTCGGGAGCAGTATACACCCGTGCGCGGAGACCGAGCACCAGTGGTCAAGCACCCTGATCATCTGAAGATGGATGGGAAGTTTGAAGACCGACCTCATGAGGCAGTACCGAGAGGCGAACGTGCTCCCGTAGTCAAACATCCAGACCACTTGAAGATGGAAGGGCAATTTGACGACCGCCCTCGAGAGGAGGCTCCGAAGGGTGAAAAGGCCAGGCCATACAAATACAACGACAACTTGAAGCCAGAAGGAGACTTCACCGACAGACGTCCCGAGGAAGCGCCTAAAGGAGAAAGGGCGCCTGTTGTCAGGAGACCCGACAACCTGCGACCAGAGGGAGTTTTCGAAGATCGTCCTCGCGGAGAAGCACCGAAAGGTGAGAAAGCAACACCATACAAGTACAGAGACAACCTGAAGCCAGAAGGAGAGTTTACTGATCGTCGCCCCGAGGACGCTCCAAAAGGAGAGAGGGCTCCTGTCGTCAAACGGCCCGACAACCTCCGGCCTGAGGGCGATTTCGAGGATCGCCCGCGAGGTGAGGCTCCTAAAGGTGAACGTGCAGCCCCATACAAGTACAGGGACAATCTGAAGCCGGAAGGAGAATTCACAGATCGTCTCCCGGAGGAAATCCACAGGGGTGAGAGGGCTCCTGTGGTGAAACGGCCAGATAATCTGAGACCAGAGGGAGATTTTGTGGACCGTCCCCACGAGCAAGCACCAAAGGGCGAAAGGGCGACTCCATACAAGTACAGGGATAACCTGAAGCCAGAAGGCGACTTTACAGACCGCCGACCTGAGGATGCACCCAAGGGAGAGCGGGCCCCTGTTGTCAAGAGACCTGACAACCTTCGCCCGGAGGGCGATTTCCAAGACCGTCCTCGTGGTGAGGCTCCTAAGGGTGAGCGTGCAACGCCGTACAAGTACAGAGACAACCTGAAACCAGAAGGCGAGTTCACTGATCGACTCCCAGAAGAGGTTCACAGGGGTGAAAGAGCACCAGTTGTCAAACGACCCGATAACCTCCGCCCGGAAGGTGACTTTGAAGTTCGTCCTCGTGGCGAGGCACCCAAGGGCGAACGAGCCACTCCTTACAAGTACAGGGACAACCTAAAGCCTGAGGGTGAGTTTGCTGATCGTCGACCTGAGGATGCACCTAAAGGCGAACGAGCCCCCGTTGTAAAGAGACCTGACAACTTAAGACCTGAAGGTAACTTTGAAAACCGTCCCAGAGAGGAAGCACCGAAGGGCGAACGAGCGACTCCTTATAAGTACAGGGACAATCTCAAACCCGAAGGCGAATTCACAGACCGTCTTCCCGAGGAAATTCACAGGGGCGAAAGAGCGCCAGTAGTAAAACGGCCAGACAATCTGAAGCCAGAAGGCGACTTTGCAGACCGTCCTCACGAAGAGGCCCCCAGGGGTGAACGGGCTACTCCTTACAAGTACAGGGATAACCTAAAACCCGAAGGTGACTTTACAGACCGCCGACCTGAGGATGCACCTAAGGGAGAGCGGGCCCCTGTTGTCAAGAGACCTGACAACCTTCGTCCTGAAGGAGACTTTGAAGATCGTCCCCGTGGCGAGGCTCCTAAAGGTGAGCGTGCAACGCCGTACAAGTACAGAGACAACCTGAAACCAGAAGGCGAGTTCACCGATCGACTCCCAGAAGAGGTTCACAGGGGTGAAAGAGCACCAGTTGTCAAACGACCCGACAACCTCCGCCCGGAGGGCGACTTCGAAGATCGCCCTCGTGGCGAGGCACCCAAGGGCGAACGAGCGACTCCTTACAAGTACAGGGACAACCTGAAGCCTGAGGGTGAGTTTACTGATCGTCGACCCGAAGAGATCCATAGAGGAGAGCGTGCTCCAGTCGTAAAGCGGCCCGATAACCTACGTCCTGAAGGGGACTTTGAAGATCGCCCGCGTGGTGAGGCTCCCAAGGGTGAAAAGGCGACGCCGTACAAGTACAGAGACAACCTGAAGCCAGAGGGTGAATTTACTGATCGCAGGCCGGAAGAGATACCTAAGGGTGAACGAGCCCCCGTAGTAAAGCGACCTGACAACTTAACAATGGAAGGCGAGTTCGTTGATACACGTGAGAAGCACACACCGGGAAGGGGAGACAGGGCACCTGTAGTGAAACACCCTGATCACCTAAGAATGGATGGCAAGTTCGAAGACAGGCCAAAGGACGTCGCTCCAACCGCAGAGCGCGCGCCCGTTGTGAAGCGGGTTGATAATCTCATGATGGAAGGGGAATTTACTGACACCAGGGAGCGAACAACCGTGACTCGAGGGGAACGGGCAGATATTATTCGTCGCGAGGACAATCTGCGAATGGAAGGGACATTTGAAGACACACGAGAGCTTAAAACCGTCACTCGAGGAGAACGGGCTGACATTGTTCGAAGAGAAGACAACCTACGGATGGAAGGACATTTCGAGGACCGTCCGCGTGGAGAAGCTCCCAGGGGAGAGAAAGTCAAACCTATCAAACATGGTGATAACCTTAGACCAGAGGGTGATTTTACTGACAGACGTCCCGATGAAGCTCCTAAGGGCGAAAGAGCTCCGGTTGTCAAACGACCCGATAACATTGTAGTTGAGGGAGAGTTCATTGACACACGAGAGAAAATGACCCCGGGAAGAGGCGATCGAGCACCAGTAGTTAAACATCCAGATCACTTGAAGCTGGATGGCAACTTTGAAGAGCGTCCAAAAGACCAAGTACCAAAGGGAGAGCGTGCTCCTGTTGTCAAACACCCGGACCATCTTAGGATGGAAGGAACGTTTGATGATCGTCCCCGCGAGGAGGCCCCACGAGGCGAAAAGGCAACACCATATAAATACAGGGACAATCTGAAGCCAGAGGGTGACTTCACAGGAAGACCGACAGAAGAGGCACCAAAGGGTGAAAGGGCTCCTGTTGTCAAACGAACAGATAATTTGACAATGGAGGGCGAATTTGTCGATACAAGAGAGCGAACTACAGTGACCCGCGGTGAAAGAGCCGACATCATCCGCCGGGAGGATAATCTCAAAACAGAGGGGAGGTTCGAGGACACCAGAGAATATACAACCGTTACCCGTGGAGAGCGTGCCGAAATCGTCCGAAGGGAAGACAACCTCCACATGGAAGGCACGTTCGAGGACCGTCCTCGTGGCGAAGCCCCGAAGGGAGAGAAGGTTCGTCCTATCCGCCATGGCGACAATCTTCGCCCAGAGGGTGATTTTACTGGTCGTCCTAAGGATGAAGCACCTAAAGGAGAAAGAGCTCCTGTTGTGAAACGTTCTGACAACCTTACGGTTGAGGGTGAGTTTGTTGACACCAGAGAAAGAACGACGGTAACTCGTGGGGAAAGGGCAGATATCGTCCGCCGTGAAGATAATCTAAGGACAGAAGGAAGATTCGAAGACACCCGTGAAGTGACCACGATCACCCGCGGTGAGCGGGCTGAAATTGTTCGCAGGGAAGACAACCTACGCATGGAGGGGCAGTTTAATGATCGTCCGAAAGAGAATGCTCCGAAAGGCGAAAAGGCCAAACCAGTCAAGCACGATGACAATCTAAGACCAGAAGGAGAGTTCACGGGTCGCCCAAAAGATGGGGCCCCTAAAGGAGAGCGCGCACCCGTCGTGAAACATCCTGACCATCTGAAGATGGAAGGCGACTTCACAGATGGGAGAGATCGCCACTCTCCCGGTAGGGGGCAGCGGGCGCCAGTTGTCAAACACCCTGACCATTTGAAATTGGAGGGAGATTTCATGGATCGTCCCGACGAAAAGGCACCAAAAGGTGAAAGAGCCCCAGTAGTAAAGCACCCAGACCATCTAAAAATGGAAGGTGATTTCACTGACGGCCGAGATCGTCACGCACCAGGAAAGGGACAAAGAGCACCAGTGGTCAAACATCCTGATCATCTGAAGATGGAGGGAGAGTTTGCTGATCGCCCAGATAAGAAGGCACCAAAGGGCGTGAGAGCTCCAGTTGTTAAACACCCAGATCATCTGAAAATGGAGGGCGATTTTACAGACGGCCGTGACCGGCATGCGCCAGGAAAGGGACAACGGACGCCTGTCGTGAAGCACCCAGACCATTTGAAGATGGAAGGCGAATTCATGGACCGCCCTGACGATAAGGTACCAAAAGGCGTCAGAGCACCTGTTGTCAAACATCCTGACCATCTAAAGATGGAGGGGGAGTTCGCCGACCGTCCAGACAAGAAAGCTCCCAAAGGCGTAAGGGCACCGGTTGTGAAGCATCCTGACCATTTGAAAATGGAGGGAGAGTTCGCTGATCGTCCAGACAGCAAAGCACCGAAGGGCGTTCGTGCTCCTGTTGTACAGCATCCTGATCATCTCAAACCAGGGGGCGAGTTCCTGGATACGCGCGATAAACAGTCGCCTGGTCGTGGAGATCGCGCACCAGTTGTGAAGCACCCAGACCAGCTGAAACTGGACGGAGACTTTGCCCAGCGACCCGCAGGAAAAGCGCCGCAAGGTGAGCGAGCACCTGTTGTCAGACGAGAGGATAACCTGACCATGGAGGGCGAATTCACGGACACACGAGAACAAACGGTGGTGCGTCGGGGCGAAAGGGCTGATATCGTCCGGAGAGAAGACAATCTTCGAATGGAAGGTAGCTTCGAAGACACGAGAGAACGTAATAAGGTGACTCGCGGGGAGCGAGCAGAGATCGTTCGAAGAGAAGACAACCTCCGAATGGAAGGTCGCTTTGAGGACACAAGAGATCAGAAGACCGTCACTCGAGGCGAACGGGCTGATATTGTCCGCAGGGAAGATAACCTCCGCATGGAAGGTCGCTTTGAGGACACAAGAGATCAGACGACCGTCACTCGAGGCGAGCGGGCTGATATTGTCCGCAGGGAAGATAACCTTCGCATGGAGGGCAAATTTGATGACACCAGGGAGCGCACCTCGATAACGCGCGGTGAGCGGGCCGAGATCGTGCGCAGAGAGGACACTCTGCGGATGGAGGGCGACTTCCAGGGTCGACCTCGCGGCGAGGCCCCGCGTGGTGAGCGTGCACCACGAGTTGACCATCCTGATAATCTAAAGCCAGAGGGCGACTTCTCGGGGAAGCCGCGCGAGCAGGCTCCGCGCGGTGAGCGGGCGCCCGTGGTGCGCCACCCGGACCATCTGCGCATGGAGGGCAAGTTCGAGGACGGCCGCGAGATGGTGACGGTGATGCGCGGCGAGCGGGCCGACGTGGTACGCCACAGCGACAACCTGCGCACCGAGGGCTCCTTCACAGGTCAGTGGCCAGCGGCACCCACGTGCATTGTTGTGGCTTTTAGCTACTTGAAGCTAGTTACTTTTCTTATCGTCATCCCAGATTGCTAAAAAATAACATTTCACTGAAAAAAAAAAACAATGAATGGTGGACACTGGATAGTGAAATGCATAAGTTGAATTTCCAAAATTGTTTCATACATCAAATGACTTTTTTTGTAAAAGAGTCAATTTCACGACAATGTAGGTACATCGTGGTACGATCGTCTATGCTACGTTTACCTCGTTTTCACTTGTCAGAGTGATATAATATCAGATATCTGCTGTATTGTTACAGACACCAGACAGAAGACAACGGTGAAGCAGGGATCTCGGGCGAGCATAGTCCGCCATGAGGACAACCTCCGCATGGAAGGAAAATTCAACGGTGAGTAAACGGACAATTGAAGTAGCATTGAAGAGCCATGCAGTTGACATGTGGTTTATTCTAAATGCTTTGCTGCATTTGTATTGCTTTCACAGTGCACTCAACATTTTTGTTGTTTAATAAACAGCACTACAATGATCTTGTCCGTCTACAACTAGGCACATGATGCACAACATCGAAAGTAAGTGACATCTCTTTCTGTTTGCAGACGGAAGGCAGAAGACGCTTGTCAGCCAGGGTGAACGTGCCTCTATTGTAAAACATAAGGACAATCTGCGAATGGAAGGCCAGTTTGAGGGTGAGTCACTCATGGACCACAGTCGCCTGTTTTTGTTATGACACGATGCACGCACAATTTCGTCTTGTGGACTTTGGTGATTACCTAGGAATGCCTCGGAATTATGATCGTCACTAACTTTTGGTTTGAGGGTTTCACTCACATCTCACAATGCCTGTCTTTAATTATTCAAGTCTGTCGATTTCATCCCGTGTCCCATTGTTGGTTTTCGTTTTATACGTCGATAGAGACCGTACCTACACTAATAAATTGTCCTGAAAAGGTTGGACAAGTTTAAAATACTCATAAAAATCATTACGAAAATATTTTTTCCTAGCCGGAGCTTCGTACACAGTTCTTTTCCCTGTTCTGTTTAAGAAAAGACAATGTTTGAACTACCTCTAGATAATGATTGAGAACAGTGAACTACCCAAAACCAAAGACATCAAACACATAAAACTTTTTATTTTTCCTGATTTGTATCTTCATTAATATCTCAATCTTTGGGCTAAGCTATAATTTCTTTCAGCTTCGTACCTCTTATTTCATACAGCTTGGATATTGAATGAAAACTTTGGATACTCCTGAGGAAGTTTGAATATTCATAGTGCTATGTGCAGTGGTTACCTTTTTAAATAGGTAAAGTGACATGTAAAAAATATAATGGCTCACAATTAACTGACGTCTCACGTCTAGTTCTTCTTAGCACTACCATGGTCACTCTGAAATATCTAAACACTAGCATTCCCCTAAAACTAACACACCGGTACTGTTTTTAGTGACACTCCCTACCACTCCCTGTCTTCTCTGCCTGTGCACGTCGTGTCACGCACTCACCTGTCTCTCTCGCTGCTAACCATGCTCGCCATTCTCACTAACACGACTGCGGCTCGCGCAGACTTGCCGGCCAGCCCGGAGTCTGGCGTCGGCGAGCGGTCCTCGGCCAGCGGACCGGACCGGCAGTCCCCGGAGAGCCATCGGTCGTCGGCAGGCCTCCCCCGGTCTCCGGCCGGGTCCCAGAGCCGGGGCTCTCCGACGGACCGGCGCTGGTCCTCGGGCGAGTCGTCCCTGGACTCCGGGGCGCCGACCACTCGGTCCCCGGCGGACCAGGACCGCCGCCGGTCCTCTGGTCAGTCCGGCCGGTCCGCCGCCGTCCGGCCCAGGGATAATCTGCGCGTGGAGGGAGAGTTCCAGGGCCGGCGCGCCGACTCGCTCGTCGTCGTCCGCGGCGAACGGGCCGAGGTGGTGCGCCACCAGGACAATCTGCGAGTCGGAAGACAGCTATTCGCCGGTACTGGCAGCCGCCTCTGCTCCTGCTGGCCCCGCCGGCCGCGCTCCGTGCGACTCTAAACGGCTTAGTCGCTCAGTTTATATGTTGCAGTTTATATCATGTTCATTTGCACTCGCATATTTATGTTGCCATGAATTTATTTTACTATGCTAGCTTCTTCAGTTAAACATCTGTGTACGTTTCGTTGCTATGTTTCGTCCCCGACATCGGTCCTCGGCCGCCACTGGAGTGTATCGCTGACACCGCTCGGCCGCCCGTGCAGAGCGACAACAGAAGACCACCACAGTGACCGGTGAGAGGGCCGAGGTCGTGCGACACACCGATAACCTGACGGTGGGAGGCGGAGACTTCAGCGCACCGCGCACCCCGACCGCGCCGGCCGCCGGCGAGCGGGCCTCGCCGGTCCGGCCGCAGGACAACCTGCGCATGGAGGGACAGTTCTCCGGTTAGTGGAACGATTCGAGCTAGTCTACAACGACCGCTGCAAACGAGCGAATGCAGGCCAGCTGCTGTATATGGCAGAATCCAACAGCCTGGTTGTTTTGTCTCATTTTACTTATCTATCTGTTTTGTGATTCTTTCATTTTTTTAGACTGTATCTTTATCAATTTTGTTTTGTGTTTGCTGCACCTTTATGTTCAATGTTCGTTCCATTTACGTTGTTATTTTGTGTTGGCGGCCGCGCAGACACCCGCCGTAAGACGGTGGTGAAGCAGGGCGAGCGGGCCGAGGTGCGTCGGCGCCAGGACAACCTGAAGCTGGAGGGCGAGTTCGTGGGTCGCGAGCAGCGCACCTCCCAGACCACAGTGGTGCGCGCCGCCGGAGTGCCGTCAGGAGCAGGTACGGCACCGCGGCACCGCGGCCACCAGGCTATGTAGGACGGTCGACACGCATCAAATTTGACAGTATATTGTAAAACAGATCTCTTGACATCTCTTGATGTCTTATCCTTTTCGAACAAATCACACTATGTAATAAAGGGACCCAATCTGAACGATTCACTTTGTGAGTATGCACTCCAGTAGTCTCACTTATGAATCACGTGAGCACAATGCACATTAGTTTTGAATCACGTGAGCATGCTAGTTGGTCGTAATATGCACCAGGAACACGAAAAACACCTTTTTCTCATGGCTTCGTTTCTGAGTACCTCTTGCCGCGATAAAATCCCGTAATTGTGCTAATAGTTAATTGCTAAACGTATGTCAATCTAATAGCTGATACGAGTACGGCAAAGTGTCGCTAGCCCTGACCTTCATGTTTGGTTGTGTGTTCTCAGCGGTGTCGACCAGCCAGGGCGACTTCCAGCCGTTCAAGACGGTCAGCAAGCCGGCCGGCCAGACGGTGCAGCAGAGCCAAACGCAGCAGCAGTCGTCGATGAGCGTCAGCCAGCAGGGTGGCGCCTCCTCGCGCACCGAGCAGCACTCGTCCAGCGCGCACCTGGAGCAGCGCAAGGTCTCCAGCTCGCAGCAGCAGTCCTCGTCCACCGCCCGGAGCTCGCAACAGGTGGCGCAGCAGCGCTCCGCGTCCAGCAGCCAGCTGGAGCAGCGCAGCATGTCGGCCAGCGAGCAGCGCGCCATGATGTCCTCCAGTCACACCGAGCAGCGCGTCACGTCGGCCGAGCAGCACTCCAGCTCCCAGCAGCAGACGGTCAGCAGCAGCACCAGCAGCAGCAGCCGGCAGATCCGTGACTCCTCCGCCCACCGGCGCGCCACGCGACACAACACGTGGACACGCGACGACACCGAGCGCGTCAAGGCGGTCCGTCAGGCCGACAACCTCACCCTGGAGGGCTCGCACACGTTCGAGACCAGCTCGGGGAGGCGCGGGAAGGCGCGGATCCGCCCGGAGACGCAGCCGGTGGCCGGTGCGCGACCCGTGGGTGTCCAGGAGCCGCGCACCTCGCCCGACAAGCAGCCGGCCGCCGGACAGCGGCCCGGCAGCGGCGAGGGAAGCGACCGCGCCTTCGCCGGCTCTCTGCGCAAAGACGAGCAGAGCGTGAAAAAGTGGGCGGCCAACACCCAGCAGCGCGCTGGCAGCTCCTCGGGCGTCAGCAGCGCCCTCCAGCAGAGCAGCGCCAGCAGCAGCGCGGTGCAGCAGCAGCAGGTCAGCAGCTCCTCGGTCCAGCAGCAGCAGCAGAGCTCCAGCAGCACGCGGCGCGAGTCGCGCGTCTCCAGCAGCACGCAGCAGACTGAGCAGCGCAGCCGGGCCGTGCGCAGCTCCACGCAGTCGCTCGGCATCTTCCACGGCGACTACGACGTGTTCAAGGACAAGTCGGCCTCCAAGAACCAGTCGTACGCCACCTACAAGCCGTGCCCGGCGGCTGTGGTCGACTCGCCCATGTCAAACCTGCGCCCGGTAGGACAGACGCACGACCACAAGTACTACATGCCGAAGGTCAGCGACTAGGGAAACTCGATGCGATTTTGTGATAATGTGTGACGCGGGATGTCGCTAGGACCGCTCTCGGCGACAGTCAGGGGTCTCCCTTAGCTCCTAACATCGCCGAGTGCTGTCCGACCGACCCGAATAAGGGCCAGAGCTGATAGACCAGATGCGTTGTGTTCCACGGAAGCGTTCGTGATGCGAGGTCCGGAGGAAGGGTGGGGGCCGGCGCCGGGCACTGCCGGCTTCCCTTACCCGTGCGGTGCCCGCCCGCCGGCCCCGGCCCGTCACCGTGACCCGGGTAGAGACAGGCGGCGCCATCGACGAGCGTCGTCGCTTTCGTCACGCGCTTCGACGCTCGTTCGCTGCATGTGATAGACACGCCCCGAACACCGTCCACGCGTGAGGCCTTTCCACCGCGCCGGGCCGCCGGCCTGCGCATTGTGATGTCGATTGGACCGCGGATGCATGAGGGTGGCGAGGATGTGTAAAAATCAAAGCTGGATATGTTTTTAGGCAGCGATACTAGTGCTAGTATTTTCCAAGGTATTGTCTTACTAATTCTGACTCGCTTGTGGTTATGGCAACTGATGTCCAATGAACTAATGGCTATTTATACAGCCCTTGGCGAGTGTGAATGCGTTTCTCTAACTAGCTAGTGATGCAGAAATGCTCATTTATGTTTTGATGATATTTTCGAGGTGAAAATACATTGCTTTATGTAACAACAAGCTTTTAATAACGTGAATCTATTTAAATACACGAGTCATAATACTACCGAGAAGTTTGGTATTTTCCGAATGTGGGACTAAACGAATACATACCCAGCTCAGAAAATGCAGTATCTTATGACACTAGCCATCATTCACAAATTACTAGACAAGGCTCAACGTTAAAAATACGCAGACAGTAAATACGCTAACACCCTAGTCCCTACCTATCCACGACATGGAAAATGACACCGACGTTTAGATAATTACACAATTATACAGATAGGCGGATAAAGAAAGACGGTCTGGGACGCTGTGGAGGCGGGGCGAGGCATACCCCCCCAAAAAAAAACTCAAAATTCCAAAAACTCCACGGCATTCGATTCCTTACCCACTTCTCTGCAGTTCTACTAGTACACAGGCTTTTTTTCTAATAAAAACTGTTTAGTCTCCTTTATTTTCCAGAAAGAGCCCTCATTTTCAAGGATTTCAGGCGCTGCGGGGGAAGGCGGGGGGACGTTTGCTTCAAATGCCCCCGGGATCCGCCATGAGTGCAATCAGAGGCGGATCCAGGATTTTCTTTGACCAGGGGCCAATGGTATGAAGGTGGCCTAGTTTCGACGTACCCCCAGGGGCAGTTCAAGACTTGGGGCGCCTGTAGTGAAAAAATGCGGACTTCTTTCTCCCTTCCTCCGAAGTTGTTTATAGCTATATGGGCATAAATGCGGGAGCCGGGGAAGAGGGACAGTGGGGGCAGCCTTCCCACACAGCTCTGGGGCCGTGGGGGTGCTGCCCCGCCCAACTTTCCATTATAGGGACAGGAACCGTAGGGGCAGCTCTTCCTCCCCAAATTAGTGGACGTGGGTCACAAAGGAAACCCGAATGGAAGAAAACATTAAAGTAAAAAAATCCCCTTTTACCTGGCTTGACAGCTCATGTGGAAGATTTAACCGTCGCCCGTATTGGTGTTTTGCCAGCCTCTAACGTATGGGAGGGGGGGGGGGGTCCGTTGGACCCTCCTTGCCATTTCGCCCCTGATTGAGCTAAAGCTTCGCGGAAACAATGAGCGTTTTGCGGAGATACTCACCATTCAGCGATGTCTCCCGTCTCCGTGCCAGACAGCAGTTTTGGCTGCTTGCCGCGCTTGGTGCGTCTGTGGTGGAACGGGGTCGGGGAACTGTTGCCCGTGACGAGAGGAAGCCGATGATGCCCAATTTTAACCCGCGCCCTGCTGGGGGTCCTGGATTTCCACGCCCTGCTGGGGGGGGGGGGGTGTTTGAACACCCCCCCTTCTAACTCGGCTCCTGGGCCACGTAGCGATACGCGGAAGGCGGCGTTCGAAAGAGCGTCAAAAATAATGAGGAAATCACTTCGGTCAATTTTTTGGTCAGGTCAAAGGTCAGGTCACCAGAGGTCATTGAAGGCAAAATTTCGCCGATTTCCAGGTCGAATGTCGACAATTTCCAAGAAGCCAACGCATAACTCGGGAACCAATAGAGCTACAGCGCCGCGGAAAAGCGCATTCGATAGCCCTATTAACGCCCTTTCTGAGCAATTCTCTCAGATTTGACCTAACGCCAACGGTTTTGCCTGCAGGGGGCAAAAACTGCAAAAATAGCCGATTTTTTCGGAAACAGTTTTTCTGCAATAACTTTTGACCCAAGTCATGTACGAGCTTACTTTTACCGGCATCGTGTTCCTCTCGTCAAGACGCATCGAATGAACTATAACTTGACCTTGAAAGGTCAACTTGAAAATTTGACCTCAGGTCAAGGTCATGACCTGACCGGAAAGGGTCATGTTGCATATCAGTCGATCCGTATCGTCGAGCTGAACACATCTAAGGCGTTTTCATCGCTCTAGCATGCCTCTATCAAAAGTTATTTGCGAAAAACTGTTAGATACCATTCGTGACCTAAGATGACCTCAGGCACAGACTTCTCTATATATGGACTGTGCGCTGATTTGGAAAATCAGCATTGGAGGCCCAAATTTCTGAAGCCGTAATATGAACCCATATGTTGTAACACAATACCCTTTTATTGTTTCCTGTCGACAGGCTGAATTTTATGTAATATATTTTGTTTTTGTACTATCTATTGCTCGTAGCTCAGAATAAGAAAGGCTTCTGGTCGATATGAATCTGTATTGGAACATCATTTCACGTTCATCGACACCCATTGATGTCCTCATGTCAAGTTCATCTCACATTGCACCAGTGGGCTTGAAAATGGCGTTAGTCCATTTTCACCGCGGGATCCAGCGAGAAAGGGTGGCTATCATCCCTTTCTTCTTCCCCCGTGTGCTGGATTGTTCACATCTCTGACATGACTGGCTACAAACTCGCGCGACAGTGCACCGACCGCGCTGGTGGTAAAGGTTGGCGGTAATGCCGATGGGGGACTTTACGGGAAAATGTGTGTCTGCTGCAACGGTGTCTTCACTGTTCTTCTCTGCTACCCACTTTTTCGCACCACGCATCTACACATAGTCGCACTTTCACACATTCGCACATGCGCATCACCAATTGCAACGTAACCCTCCGTCTGCTCGTTTTCCACTCGCTGCTGAATGATAAGGCGATAGCTCTTGTGACGGTCGTTCCCATCACGTTGTCATGCTGTAGCTATTGTTGCTTTTATTGTGTCCCTTCGTCCCATGGAGACGTAGCCGAGCAGCTCTGAAGGGACCTGTGGGCGGCCCCCAGGGCCACCACGACGCTGCCGCTCCGCACCTCCTCCATGTTGGGGTTGATGGTCGCCATCAGGCGATGTCGGGTGCCCATCAGAGCCGGGCACCGCAGGAGGACATGCTTGGGCTGTCCGCCTCCTCTCAGCAGACGGGTAGAGTGCGGCTCTGCATTGTCGGTCGTCGCACTGGTTGCACCCCGACAGCCAGGAGGGCGCCAACCCGACTCTGTGGCGCCATTGGGAGGAGCTTGTCCAGTGGCCGGCGCGGAGCTGGTGGATGTCTACCGCCGCTGGCCGGTCGCCGCCGGCAACGGTAGGCGGGAGTCGATCCCCGTCAGCTGGTGGAACCAGCCGGCTGGCCAGGCCCCGACGGTGCGAGCCCTCGCCACTCTGGCGGCGGCCCAGTGGGCCTTCTGGACGTCTATAAGGATTTGTTTTTAGTCGAGTATGTTTGCCTTCTTGGCGATGGTGTCGGCCCTCTCGTTGCCTTCCAACCTGCATTGTGAGGGCACCCACTGTAGGTAGACCAATAGGCCTCCAGCTGTCAGTCCCCAGAGGGCTCTCCAGATGTCCACTCCGAGCGAGGAGTGCTGAGCGGCCCAGCCACCTCGGATGGCGGCGAGGGCGGACTGCGAGTCGGTGCAGGCTACGATGGTGTCTTCGGCGTGCGGCGGGTTCTCCAGCAGCTAGGAGAGAGCAGCTCGGAGGGCGACCATCTCAGCTCGGAAGCTGGAGCACAGGTAACCTGCCGGGGCGCGGATCGAGTGCTCTTCCCCGTTCGGCCAAACGATTAGTGCCCCCGGCGCCTCCGTCATATTCTGTAGCTCGTTAGTTACAGTATGCTCTTCGCCCTTGGCACATTTCTTGGCTTCTTCATCAAGAATGTCCACAGCTGGCCTAGAAATGGTGACCTGCCAGTTTCCTGAGATATCCAAAGTAGAAGTTCCTGTAATAACAGGCCACCACCGGCACAGATGTTTGCCCCAGCTACTTATACTCCAATCAGTCCTATGCATCTTGTTTCTGCTCCACCGCTACTTTTTCCGTCCGTTCTTCGCAGACTGGCGTATTCTTGAGCTTCCCGATCCCGATGCAAGTTTTGCGGTAACATTTAAAAGCGGCAACCTTCATCGTTTAACATTGATGCGAAGGGTACGAATTCCATCATTTTATCGAGCATTCTTCCGAGATGATTTGATCCAGACCATAATGAACTACAACCCCATACGACACACTGGATAAAGTTCATTGTTTGATTGAATAAGCTTACTTCTTTTGGATGTAGTGGCGTATCACTGCCATGGGTATGGCATTATTTAGCGCGGCGTAGCTTCGAACTGCAATGGCGAGTTGTTCTTTTCACATTAACTGCTGGTCAAGTTAAGTCTTTGTAGCTCCTTTCAGTGAGTCTTTTTTTCTCCAGAATAAAATAAGGCTCTAGGCATTATAGGAAGTATGCTGAGACTGGCGCCGTCGATAGCGTCCTGTTTTTCTTCTTGCTGTGTGAGTCTCACAGGAGTCAGTGTTTGCAAAAGTAAACTTGCAAATCTGATTGTCCTCAGCGTTATCTCTTATCTCGATTGATGGTTTCGTCTGTGAACATTTTTTCCTTTTAGTTATACGGGAGGCTAAAAAGTTGCCTTTTTGCTAGAAACTATGTTTCGTTTCACATTTTGCTTGCCCTGACTCTGGCTTGACACCCGGAATGGCATCTTCGCACCACACGTTTTCTGATCCGGTCGTGATGAGGTAGTGATCGATAATATTCTTTCCTTTTTTGACCATTTTTTCGGGCTATTTCTTACTTATTTTTACTGCTTCTTGTGGCCCTATATAATGTATCATTATTTCTCAAAACCCTTTTCAAAACCAACGTAAATGACTAGTTCCGACAAATTAGCAACGACAACCAACAATGCAACCAACATTCAAAAGCAAGAAAATGCGCGCAAAGTACGGCTGCATTTGTGAAGTATATACCTCCAGCGTGAACAAATGGCTAACTGAACGAGAAAACATGTTCTCATTTATATACATTTATTTCTTATTTATTTTGAATTCAACAAAAAAAATGTAATCCGACAGGTAGATAAAAGTATGGGCTATCCTATATCCAAATTTGTAAATATTCTGACACCCTTTTCATTGTAAAAAGATGGATAAAAGTGCACTTATTTTTGGGCCTCCAATGCTGATTTCCCAAATCAGCGCACAGTCCATATATAGAGAAGTCTGTGCCTCAGGGCATAAACAGGGGTCACGGACACCATTTTGATGTTCAGTGTGTCTAAACCACCTGTAATTCAGTGTTTGGGAGTGTTTATAATGTCTTTCGTCCAAAGGAGGCGCATTTCAATTTTCTCCCATTGACTTATAA